AAATATATATATATATACATATCTCTTTACTGCTATTTATTTTGTAAATCTCTCTCTTTTTCCAGAATATATATATATACATATGTGTGTGTGATATATATATATGTATATATATATATATATATGTGTGTGTAGTTTTTTTTAAATATATATATATATATATTCATTCTCACGCATCCCAACGTGTCAGGCTTTTAAGTAGGGATACGTTCCTCAACTCCCATAGCCAATTTGCAAGTTTCGGTGACACGGCGGTCTGAACAACCATCGTCGCAAGTCCACATATACAGGGTCAAACTACATGCTTGATGTAAAAAACTACTAGCAGTAAAGTCGGCGACTGCGGTTTCGCTCCGGTATGCACTGCGACGAGATCAATGCGACAAAAATCATTGATGGAGGAATCGACACAGCGGAGTCAAAAAAAGCCATGCCCCTACTTTGCGGCACAAAACCGATCGTGGCAACATTGAACTGCTGTATAGGTTTCTAAGCGGCCCGGGAAACAAATAGGAAGCTCCATCCGACTGCAATCATGCATGGCTGTTAATTACCACATTCCGGAAAGGTTGCCCCATGGGCTGCTTACACAGACGCACAAAGCGTATATGTATTTTTACACGCAGGACTTTCTGCGCATGTCATTTTTTCGCCAAGCCTTTTCTAGCATTCTTCTCATGTCAGCGGTCAGCTGGTTTTTTTGATCAAGCACGCTTTGCGCAAAAACACATCACACAACCTGGTGATAGCATGGTTTGGCCACAGAGAGAGAGGTATTACCGGAGTTTTTCTCCTACCAATTTTTCCCCGGCGAGGCCCACGCAGGCTTGCCAAACAACCAAACAAGAAACATGTTGCAAGCCCTACTGCCTCTGAGCATAAGCATTCAACTCTTCTCGGAAGCAAGCGTTGTGCTGCAGCTCCCGGCAACAGCGGGCTCGATGACGTTAAAGTTCTTCCCGAATTAGATTTCTATGGCATGACCTTTGCCGCAAGGCTGTCCATGATGCACTTGTGCTATAGAGAGGCGTCATGTCTCCAAGGCTTTCAGTTTTGTATGTGGCGGGCATAAAATTTGCACATGTTTTTGCTGCATTTGGGATAAAAAGAAGGCGCTGCTTATACATACACTCTGCATGCCTGCCACCTAGCCGAAGATTTCCAGCACTGAATGAGTCCAAATACTTTGCGAAACATCGCTGGGATCTGGAAACATGAATTTCACGAAATTTCACGTTAAGTAGCTTGCATAAATGATTTATATCGTCTTTTTCACGAAATTTCACGTTTCGTGTGTTCCGCTTTTTCTTCCTCTTCTCACCTCGGATTTTCTGGACTCAAGAATAATGAGCAATTTCATGAATTTCACGCTTCTTTTTCGTGGATTTCACGCTTCACGTTTCATTGTCTGCTGAATTACATGAGTTTCACGCTTCTTTTTCGTGAATTTCATGAATTTCACTGCTGAATTTCACGCTTCTGTGAATTTCATGAATTTCACGTTTTCTCTGCTGAATTTCATGAATCATGAATGTCACGCTTCTTGTTCGTGAATTTCATGAATTTCACGTTTTCTCTGCTGAATTTCATGAATTTCACGCTTCTTCTTCGTGAATTGCATGAAATTCACGTTTTCTCTGCTGAATTTCATGAATTTCACGCTTCTCCTTCGTGAATTTCATGAAATTCACGTTTTCTCCGCTGAATTTCATGAAATTCACGCTGAATTTCATAAGATTCACGTTTTCTTTGCTGAATTTCATGAATTCCACGTTCTCTTTTCGTGATTTCCTTGCTTTTTGGCCAAGTTCTTTCAATTTCATGAAAACTCATTTTTTTCCACGGCTGCGCTTCATGAATTTCATCCGGCCCTGTGAGTTTCATGTTTTTCCCCCTTGGGTTTCGTGACTTTTGCACGTTTCGTCCCTGAAATAGGTGTGATGTTTTCACATGTTTCCTTGGAACTAATTTTTCTATTTATAAATATTACGCATACGCCATGCTGTGACTGACATATGTATATGTATTGGTCTTATATATTTTTACTTATATACGTGTTTGTGCGATTGTGGTTGTGCATGTTCGTGTACATCCATGCACAATAGATACATGTGATATGTGTATATACATTTATATATATATATATTAATCTATATACACCATGTTGCAAAAAATGCCTTATGTACACATGTGTTAAATAGATTTGCCGTGTCTATGCATGGATATGCAAGCTTGAATGTGCGTATATGCTTTTTACATTTACACATGCGTGTATGTCTGCAAACATAAACATATATATTTATATATACATATATATTCAAGATATGTATATACTTGGGGGTGCCGTTTCGATTGCTTGAACCACAAGGCAACCTTTTCCGTGTAGGGGATATATACAAGCTTATGGATTCCTGTGGCTCTAAAACCAATCAGTTAACCCAATTGCACCACCAATTTTCCCGCCCAGCGAAAACCATATCGTCTCTAGGGCATGTTTTGACAACGTTGTCATATCGGAATGCCCATCCTGCAGCATGATCTTGATCCTACTGCATTGCAGGAATTTTGCTCAATGCTGTTTCCGGGCAGGTACACATTGCAACATGCAGGATGTAGAGACATGGGTTTTCAGCGCGAAATGCAGCAATGGTGAAACAAAGGTGCATCACAACACACATCAGCTTTTGCTCAGTGCTACACCACAACAGCCATGCCCACGATCTGAGGTCAATCGCTATTGTAACTTTACAGCGACCAACCCATGCAACCCACAAAAACCGATTTATACGACAAGCATCGATCTGTGTGAGGTGGCTCGAACACTGTGACAATCGCTGTCATCACAATATACGGCGACCAACCAAATTTCTCAGGCTCCTAGGGAGAAAAATGCTTCAGCAGCGACCAACTGGGTGCACCGGCTAGTCGCTGTTCGACAGAAGAGCGAACATTGGGCGCAATTCTGCTTGAACAGCGACCAATGGGTGCACCCGCAAAAATCGATTTATGGCACATAAACCGTTTTTTGCAGTGGTTCGAACAGCGTATGTGACAGTCGCTGTATGAGCTACACAGCGAACCTCCCAAGCTGCGCAAGCCGGTTCTAATATGTGATGGATGTTGAAACCCCGTACCTCCTGCACATTGTTACTGCACGGCTGTGTACACTGCGGATTCAAATCATAAGAGCAAAGCTGCGCAAGCCGGTCAAATATGTGATGGATGTTGAAAACCCATACCTCCTGTACATTGTTACTGTACACTGCACGGCGGTGTACACTGCGGATTCAAATCATAAGAGCAAAGGTGCGCAAGCCAGTTCAATTATGTGATGGATGTTGGAAACCCATGCCTCCTGCACATTGTTTCTTTGCGCACTCCGCATTTCATCATTAAAGCAAAGCCGGTTCCTATGCAAGCCAGTTCCAGAACATCACGAAATGGCTGAGGGGAGGTGAAAGCCTATACCTGCTGCATGTTTATTCAAGATGCATGTACTAAAACCTTGCATGGGCCCTGCAAATCATTGAAGGATTAATCTTGAAAGCAATAGCACCCAAGCCCACTGAAAATGCTCGATTTATAAGGTGTTCCACGAGATTGATTTATACAGCTGTTTAACCTGTGTTGGGAGGCGCCGTTTGTGAGCCTTGACGGCTGGAAGAGAGCTAGTTTGGGAGCCGTTGCCCGGAGGCTCGGTCCGTCCTTCAGGGCCCTGCTGTTTTGCTGTGGCGGAGGCGCCGTTTGTGAGCCTTGACGGCTGGAAGAGAGCTAGTTTGGGAGCCGTTGCCCGGAGGCTCGGTCCGTCCTTCAGGGCCCTGCTGTTTTGCTGTGGCGAGGGTTTGTGAGCCTTGACGGAGAGAGCTCGGGTCCGTCCTTCAGGGCCCTGCTGTTTTGCTGTGGCGGAGGCGCCGTTTGTGAGCCTTGACGGCTGGAAGAGAGCTAGTTTGGGAGCCGGTGCCCGGAGGCTCGGTCCGTCCTTCAGGGCCCTGCTGTTTTGCTGTGGCGAGGGCGCCGTTTGTGAGCCTTGACGGCTGGAAGAGAGCTAGTTTTCTTGTAGCTTCAGAAAGCAACGTTAGTAACGTTAAGCAGTGGGAGCCGTTGCCCGGAGGCTCGGTCCGTCCTTCAGGGCCCTGCTGTTTTGCTGTGGCGAGGGCGCCGTTTGTGAGCCTTGACGGCTGGAAGAGATCTAGTTTTCTTGTAGGTTCAGAAAGCAACGTTAGGCAGTGGGAGCCGTTGCCCGGAGGCTCGGTCCGTCCTTCAGGGCCCTGCTGTTTTGCTCAATGGGAGATATGCCCAGGGGTCGGCGGCAGGGGGCGGAGCCCTTTAATAAACATATGGAAATTATATTAGCTACAAATGTATATCTATATCTATATGACCAAACATATAGATATAAATAATCATATAGGTTTTGCATATATATATATATATATACACATGTATATATATATATATACACATGTATATATATATATATACATACAAATGTAACATTTACCTATATACATGATTTATACATGTACCTACAAGTATACATACGTACACGTATACATTTAATACATTTACGTGTTGTACACGTACATACAGTATATAAATACATATGATATTACACTATACTATATAATAATATGCATATACCCAAGTATACATGTGCGATGTGTATGTATATATAGGTACGCATATGCATATGTACTTTGACCATATGAAATAACTCTTTAAACACCTCACCAACACGAGTCTGGCTTGTGCCAGAAAGCACACACTAGTCAAGTGCGGGCATTGATCCCCAATCCTTGTGCATTTCACAATCAAGATGGATTTGTTCCCACTCAAACTGCACCATCCGACTCTGCAGTTCGACAATGGGATAATCAAAAACCCGAGTTTTCAAAACCAATATATCGAGGTTTTTGAAAATAGGGGTACCCCCAAATCATCCAAACTTCCACCATTTTAGTATTGAAACCTATGGTGACTTGGGGATCCCACATTAGATCCGTCCTTTGGAGCCTCCAGCGTTGCTTGCAGGGTGCAAAGCGCATCATTTCTGGCTTGGAGCCTCCTGGTGGTGCCATGTTGACCAAGAACCTGGCAACCTGTGGTAGATATACCCTCTGGATTTTTTTACATAGCTATCGAAAATTGTCCATTTATGAATGATTTATGATGATTTACCGATTAGAAATGGTGATGTTACATAGCTATGTTAAATAACCAGAGGGTATAGTATAGGAATATTGTGGTGTTCTATTCTAGTCTAGTCTATCATTAAATATATTTAAATATATATTTATATAAATAGTTCTATCACGACGTCACTATATCACTGTCACTATATCACTATACTATACTATATATATATTATGGTATAGGAATCCCCAGAAGGATAATTCAGCACTGTTTTAATGAGAATTGATTGCTCCATCGGTGATATCGGGATTGTATATGTTGGGGCTCCTTGTTTTAAAGCTTTCTTGGCTATGGCCCCAAGCCTTTGAAATTATAAATTAAGAATAGATTGGTAAATTTGATGATAAATGCATGTAAATGCTACAGTAACTATATCTAACCATAATAAAATTATGTGTTGGCTAAACCCCTATCACAGAATGAGCAATTTGTGAACTACGTACCCTTGACCCATCAATGCAACAAAGGTAAATATCAACCATCAGAGTTTTTTATGACACGAAACTCCCTTCAAGCCACTTGGATGTGGGTTGACAACCATCTCGCACCTTGGGACCCTTCTGTATACATGTATATATATATGTGTGTGTGTACATCGAACCAATATCGGATATCATAATGCTTATTTATATATATATGTACAAACATATATGTATAAATTGTCCTAATCTGCCCTGTAGTTACACATATATATAGTTATGTATATATATATATATACATGCATGGCATTATACATGCATTATATATCGGGTGCTATCTATGTGTGATAAACCACCAATCACTGGCTCCTCTGCAGCGCCAGTTTCAGCTGTCGCTCAGCCTCCCGGATCTCCTCCTGATTGGTGGCCACGCAGTGCGAATTTCGTTTCTAGGGTGATGAACGACGTGAAAATAACATATTTATATGAAATCCTATTTGTTAAACAAAATCTTATGTCAAATCCTACTAAACACAGAATCATATATAACACTAATATATAATGTTATATAGGTACTAATAGTCTCTAATAGTGATTTACAATCGTACCAAAACCCTACTAAACATAGATAATTAAAAGTGTGATCAATTATGATAAATCATGATAAATGATGGGCCACAAATGCCACTATCTTTTGGGGGTTTACAATGGAATTTACTGTGATTATCGAGCCGCGAGACTGAGATGGGCCGCTGTGTTCAGGATAATCCTTCATTTCAGGGGATGGATCATTTTGATCCAAGAAAAAAAATGATCAAGCATCTACAGATTATAGATTAATGTATATATATATATTAATATGGTTGTTGAATATATTATATATATATATATATTATATATAATATATATATATTGATATGGTCATTTATCAGATTAATATGGTTGTTCTCGATGTGTTTTGTGCTCCATTGGCTCGCGACCTCCAGCTTCCACTGGGGTGCCCCACTGCAGGAAGGTCCACCTGAGCTTAAAACAATACTTGGGGGTACCCAAAATGGAGGGTTTTTGTTCGGGAAAATCCAAACTCATGGATGATTTGGGGGTACCTATTTCATGAAACCCCCAACTCAGCAAGTTGAAAAACTCGGGAATTTTGGATGTCCAATCCTGCTGCTGTCTTCGGGGGAGTTTTCCGCATCGATTCTGCACCTCTTTGGCAGCGGCCACCGCGGCATAGAAGGCCTCACCCAAGGAACTTCGGCAGATTTCAAGGGCCAACCAGCTGCTTAGATCTGGGTTATCATTTGCAAGCGGTATAACATGTTATTATAGATACGAGTACAGACCCAAACCAACAAGGATCGGCACCTGTCACCAGCCATGGCCTAATCATAGACACCCGGCAAAACAAGCATGTTTGGCTGGGAGGACATACGCTCTCCATAGTGATCGTACCATGGAGGTATGACCATGCCTCCAATTATATATATATATAAGTATAAGCGTTTTTTCTGCGGTACGTAGAGCCAATAAGAAAACATACCCACTATTGTGGTTTTTTACCACATGAATCTAATCCAATTTTTTACCATGGCACATATGTCCATGTTCGATCCCAGTTCCATCGGTTCAGGGTGTATATATAATATATTGTCGGTTATTTGTTATTGGCTATAAAATCCCCATTGAATTCCCATTAAATAATGTCGTTGGTCTTATATTCCATTTCATTAGGCTAAGTACATTTAAATATACGAACTGCTATTTCATACTACCTCTGGGGCCTCACGGTCTGGCCCGCCCTCCAAAAATTTAAATGTCGTTACCGTACATATCGTACATTCCATTAATATATTATGACATATCCCATGAAAAGAAAATCCATTATATATGGAAACCACATCTCTAATATCATTTATATGCCATTCCAAGCATGCTCCATGCAGCCATGCATGGAATATGTATTTACCAACATTAACCCCCATAATCACCTGTGTTGGTAAATATACCATACGGTAAGATATGCCGAAAAGAGTTTCCAGGAGGTTAGTTCGACGATGTTTAATACAATATTTCCAGGTTTCCCATATTTTTCGGCATTCATTTTCTTGGATGTGCGCCTGGGAACCCCCAAAAACTAAACCCATGGGAAAACACAAACCAAAAATCAGCAAAAAGCAAATGTATTAATTATGGTCATATAGTACAAAATATTCCATCATATATATACATATATATATACCCTCTGGTAATTTAACATAGCTATGGAAAATCACCATGCTATTAATGGGAAAATCCACTATTTCTATGGCCATGTTCAATAGCAAACTGTTAGTTTACCTTGTTGGGTATATATATCCCATGAATACTCCATTAAGTCACCATTAAGTCACCATTCTTCATGGTTAACCACCACTTTTTTCAACGAAGATCTCCGACGGAATTTTCTGCCTCCGACTCCGACCGCTCCAAGGTGGATGCCTGGCATCACGTGTAAAACGAAAAGCGATTGAAAACCGGAGATACTGAGATAAGCCGGGAGATTTGATCATATTATATATAAATATATAAATATATATATATGTATATATATTTTATTATCATACATCTATATATATATATATATCATTATTATTATCATTATTATTATTATTATCATATATATATTATTATATATATATTATTATTATTAATTATTATTATTAATTATTATTATTATTATATATATAGATATTATTATATATAATATTATATATATGTGTATATATATATATATGTGATCGACAATATCATCAAGATGATCATCAATATATCAGGGTGAGAAAATGAGGATTTACCCAGGCTGAGGCGCCAACGATCAATGCACGAGCTTCTGTCAGCTTTCTCTCCTTCTCCTGGCGTGCAAACTTACTGACCTACAAGGTATTTTATAGGTACCCGACGGTACAAGCCCTCCAGTAAAGTAACATGAATATAGCACCGCCAATTTGTAGATCATGTTCCTAAACTCCAATTCTGGATTTCCATATAGCTAATTATCGCAAAGTTACCGGAGAGAATCTAATCTGCTGTTACACCAACGAGTTCAAATGGATTGGCTTTTGATGACACAGCCTCTGAAAACCAGCAACTGGTGGTTCTATCTGATCTGTCTCCTGGCCCACCTCATTTTGATGAGTCCTTATAATATAAGATCTTATAAGATATGATCATCACTACAATCCACTTGTTGACCATCGACTTGCGACCCAGATTCCAAACCTGAAGCGAACATCACCATTTGTGTTCAAACCCACCCTACCAGTGATTTATCATCCCCCGAAACGGCATGTTCGAAGGGGTGGTGAAATACTTGGACTTTTAAGGTGCTTCAACGTGACACGTGACGGTTCCAACAGCAGGTATCATCATTGAATGACAACTTAAACCCATTTTTCCAACTAGCTACTGCTATACCTCAATCTTCTTGGTGAGGCCTTAACCTCCACAACTTTTATAGTATACATGAATCATCATTGGTATACCAAGATTTCACAAAAATCGCTCAACTGTTAACTTTTTACACCTTCTTGGTATACCAAAGATGTTTACCTGGGGAAAAAAAAAACTTCCTAAGGTCCTGGGAAAATCCCAGGTGCCTCTCTCAGCTGCTGCTCCATCAGCCTCTGCGCTTCCAGGCGCTTCTCTTCCTCCGCCAAGTCCTCCGCCAGCTTCGCCTGGAAAACCAAGCGGATCACCGCTGAAGGAAAAAGAAGTCCATTTTGGACGGGAATGGTCAAGATGATTCATGGCACTATGAGGATGAATCATGGGAAGAATCCTTGGGATAATAATTATTGGAAAATCCACGTTGAATCACTTTGAAGTACAGTTTACATATGGTTTAATAGGGATAAACATGGGATAATCATGTGATAATCTTGGATTTACCCTCCGGTTTCATCAAACTTGACTATTTTTATTAAGGTTTATAGGGGTGATTTTATCAGGGATGGAGGATTCTCCAGCCACTGATTACCAGAGAGTAGAAAGATGTGAGGTTTGGAAAAAATAATACTTAGACATCATAGGTTTATGTCAGATAAATATGATGAATATCATGGGAAAAAAAAACTGAAGAAAACGACAGTTATGGCATCTTCTCGGATTCTCGGACCCATTTCTGTGTTGATTTTTGTTGATGGCCATCCAACCATCGGTAGTGGTTTGATGCTCCAAGGGTTCCAATGACTGTGTGTTATGGTTAATGATTTCTCTAAGAATCAGATGCCCCATGAAAACCCCGTGGAATATAGCCCATTCAAAATCGCAATAAAGTCGGGGTAGATCCATTTCAGTTCATTAAGTCCAGAAAAACGCAATGTTGGCTGGTTAAAATGTCCCAGTTCAGGACCATGCCTTTGAAAAACATCCACAAACATTTCGAAATCATCAATTGATGAATCTGTCTACGGTATCTGTTCATATGTATATATATATATATCTGATCATACATGTATAATTACAGGAGTATGTCATTTATTATATAATATGTTATTACAATCTTGTCTGTATTGGACAGTTTTATCACTTTTCCATCCAAACTCCACCCAAATCGGCCACAGCTGTGCCTGTTCGGCTTCTTTGAGCTGTTCCTTGTGCCGTCGCTTACGACTTCCTGGCACAGGTTGATCGCTATTTTGGCTTGAAACAGAGACAAATCAATGGCCATTCCAGGATCCTAAATTGGAGGTACCTACCATATATAAGGCCTATATAAGGCCTATGTAAAGGAATATCCCCACAAAATATGGCCTTATATGGTACAGTACCTCCAATTGAGGATCCTGGAATTCCCATTGAACAAATCCAGGTTGGCATTATCTACAGAATCTGCGCTTCATGGTGGACGCTCCAGCTAGTCCTGCCATTTCGCACCGAGATATGGTCAATGGATGTCAATGGGGATAGTGCTCCGTACTCAAAAACGATCAAAAACTTCAATCCTGTCATTCAAACATCCTGGCAACTACTAGCTAGGGACCATATGAATCTTCATAGCAGACAATGTTAGACCCTCTAGTAGTTGAGAGTATATTCAAACACCATCAATCACTGATCAACGGGTTCCTAATCAAAGGATTTTCATGAGATCCCCCTTAACCCCACGAAGATCTGATACCAAGAAAAACTTACTGGTGCTAAACGTAGGGAATGGGGGAATGATCCAATCCATATTGCAATCCAATATTATGTTCACCATCATCCCATTTCCCCATTCAGTTACATAGTACTTATACATCAATAAATTTCCATAAAAAGATTTTACCACAATATGCCACAAATGTCCATAAATAGGATTGACCCATAATAGCATTAACAAATACTATACAATCATATTCCATAAATAAAACTGACACATAATAAACATTATACAATTATACACTAGATTTCCATAATAAGATTTTATCATAATATGCCATAAATGTCCATAAATAAGATTGACCCATAAAACAGTAACATTAATAAATACTATACAATCATATTCCATAAATAAAATTGACACACAATAAAGACTATACACTAGATTTCCATAAATAGGATTTTACAATAATATGCCATAAATGTCCATAAATAAGATTGACCCAAAATAACATTAACAAATACTTTACAATCATATTCAATAAACAAAATTGACACATCATAAACATTATGCACTAGATTTCCATAAATAAGATTGACCCAAAATAACATTAATGAATACTATGCAGTCATATTCAATAAATAAAATTGACACATCATAAACATTATACACTAGATGTCCATAAATAAAATTGACCCAAAATAATATTAATAAATTCTATACAATGATATTCCATATATAAAATTGACACATAATAAACATTACACTAGTATTCATTACACTAGTATTCATAAATAAGATTGACCCATTAATAACATAAACAATACTATACAATCATATTCCATAAATAAGATTGACCCAGCACCAGCAAAGAAAAAAAAACGACCAGCGAAATCCACTGCCATCGGCCGCGCCTTGTGATGCCGCTTTGGCCATGGGAAGCCAAGTGGCTGTCTCAGTGAAGCTGGACTTCAAGTAGTTTTCGTCCTGGCTCTGAAATCAATGGATAGTTTGTGTGGAAAAATGGTGGAACAAATTCTCTTGTTTTCATATATGTTTTTGTCACCAATGGGGGGAACCCAGATTTTCCGTTTCTGTGAAATTGAAATCAGATAAATCAGCACTTGTGTGCTTTTTTTGGCGAATATTCATCAAATTTTGGGGCTTGGACAAGTCGCCGCCTCAATCTTCGCCAAGCTCTTGTAGTAACTTTGGGCCTTCGCTCCGTACAGTTTCCACCAGGATCATCAGTGACGCGGAGCAAACAACAAGCGTATGTACTGCATGGTTGTGGGGAATGGAGTACGTTACATGATATGATACTATAATATGTTTATAATATATGTATTATAATATAATATTATATTTATATATAATTATACATATATATATAAATGGCCATACAAATACATCCCATCCTTGCCCCCTGGCGATCAGGGCGCACCCTAGCAGCTCCGCTAGAAGTGGCTGGAGCCTCAAAGCTTCATCCCAAATTTGCTGCTTTTGCCAAGAAGAAACATGTTGATTTTTAAAGAAAACACACTATATTATATTCTGGTTGGTGGTATACCTACCATCTTGAAAAATATGAGTTCGTCAATGGGAAGGATTATCCCATATATTGCCAATTATTATATTATAATGGGTTAACTTGTTAAGATTGGCGGCAGTAATTTTCAATGAACTGGTAGTTACCTGCTAGAAACCCACAGAATCCAAGAATTCCAAAGTTGGGATGTAACCCCGAAACATCCCGAAACATCCCAAGCGGTGAGGCCACGTTGACCATGCATCAACAGCATCCCCCAGGGTGACCCCAATGGTAAACCCAATAGGTACACCAGCCCAAACTTGATCAGAACGAGTTTCATGTTGGGGTTTGCCACATGAAAAACCCACATCCCAAAGATGTATAAAGATGTGGGACCAAGGCCTGTCCCAACACGCTTGAGCTGCTAGCGTAGTAGCTCTTGCCTTCAGGTGCTTCTTCCTGACCTTCATGACGTCAACGCCAAGAGGTGAGGGTGAAACTTCCCGGACACAGGGTGTTTGGACTGATCGGTCATCACTCAAGAGTCACTGACTCTCTCGCCTGCTGAGTTCCCCAACATCTGGATGCTTAAACATAGACACGGTAAAAAAACAAGTTGAATTTTAGTGGGATATCAAATGCTCTCAAAATCTCTCAAAAAAAACAGTGTTGGAAAACGTTGGAAACAGATTTGTGCATCTCAACATCCCTATACAGTCCCATTCTCTCATCCAAATAGCAAAAAATGAAGCCAGCACTTATCTTGGTCCATGGACTACCCAACACCTAGAGTTCAATCTTGATCAATCTTGTGCTTCTACCTTCTATTCATTTCAGGCATTTATCCAAGCACCTCGAAAATTGTTGCAACATCTCCATGATTTTGGGAGCACCAATGGGTCTCTTGTCACCTGCATCGCTTGGCTCGAGCACCTCGAGCACCTGGAGCGGCAATAGGATCCACCGCTCCACTTTTTGTTCATCATATTTTTATGGATGCTTCGACTTCGCAATCATTTTTTTCAGGTAGTAGTTTTTGCAGTCGGATCTTTTACCGGCCCACAAATTCGACATTTTGTTACATGTCATCTTAAACCTCTTGGGGTGGGGGTTGGGCGGGGTGGGGTGGGGCATGTCAACGTTCGTTTGCACTTGAAGTTGATGCTACGTCACGCATGGGGCTGGGTGGTGTGGGGTGGGGCATGTCAACGTTCGTTTGCACTTGCGTCATGAAGTTGATGCTATGTCAGGCATGGGGTTGGGGTTGGGTGGGGTGGGGTGGGGCATGTTAACGTTCGCTTGCACTTCCGTCATGAAGTTGATGCTACGTCACGCATTGGGTTGGGGTTGGGTGGGGTGGGGCATGTTAACGTTCGCTTGCACTTGCGTCATGAAGTTGATGCTACGTCACGCATGGGGTTGGGGTTGGGTGGGGTGGGGTGGGCCATGTTAACGTTCGCTTGCACTACAGATACGTAGAGGCATATATAGATTCTTACCTGTAGAGTATTCGCATCTACATATGTATACATACACCGATATTGCGATCACTATATGTAATATGAATGTTCATGTATACATATGGACACATATATAGATATGATACATTTGTAAATATATAGATACGATACCTGCTGGCCAAAACGGGCCTCTACCTGGCAAAGCTGTGAGCTGAAAAAAGGAAAACCGAACTCGGCACGTTTTTGACCACAAAATGCTGGAAGGGTTGACGAAAGCATCTTGCGATGAACTTTTTTTAAGAAACTTTTTTGGACCCAGAATGTGCGTTTGGCTAGCACGAGAACGACGTTTTTGAGAAATCATGGGACGGTGAAAGATCCGTCGGGTAGTTTATCTCAATGATGAATGATGGCTATGTTAATGATGGTTTATGATAGTAGAACTGGTTTATGATAGTAGAACTGGTTTATGATAGTTTATGATATTGCTTAAAAAACCAGTTCTTATCTCAATTTCATGGCACCCAAGCAAAGTCATGATGACTGCCAGCCAGTCATGTACCCATGTGGGTCACCAAGCTCTACAGGGATCACCATGGGAGATTAAAAACGGAAAGGAAACGATTAGTAAAATTGGAGCCTTTTAATACCCATGTGGGTCACCTCCTGGACACATAAATATCATCAATCTTTGGAGGATGCAGTATGATAAAGGATTATGTAATATACACCTATACAATCCTATACAAGCATGCAAAGATGATGGGGTTGTTGCCCAAAAACCATCCCTTACTATCCCTTACTCTGACTCTCTGAGGTTATCGACAGGCCGAACCTCTGAAGACTTCGCTTCTTCAGGTTCCAATTTCACCTGGCGACTGAGTGAAACGGAGTCCCGTAGGTTAGAAGCTACAGCATCTGTTTATACTGTTTATCTCATTTTAACTCGTCATCCTGATGGAGTAAAAGAGAACATGGAAATTTCAAAACTCCTCACTAAAATGGTCATATTCCCCAGAAGTCCATATCTTCTCTAGGATAGGAAAACTATCATGTAGACGTGTACAACCAATAATTACAACATCTTTACACTCATATTTATTCTATAAACATCCCAGCATCACCTTTGAAATTCAACCGTTAAGCACACAAACATACACAAACTTGATGTTTATGTTGAATGTGCTTTAAGAACTTGTTTATAGCATATATAAACACATCAGAAACATCTGGAAATACTTCCGTGGAAAGGCATCCACATTTCCTAGCAGCTTAGCTGGGACTTCACATCCTTCTGTCGATAATCTGAAAGCGTTGCGCTGTCGATGGCGACCACAGCTTTCACTTTCCCAAATCAACACCGCTTTCTTTCAGGATGAATATGGGTGAATGATGGTGAATGTAACGTGTATGTGGCTTTCAGGAAAAAAACCTAGGGGTTAAAATGACCATACGCTAACTTACATCCTTGATGGATAAAACAACCTGGCTGTTGCAAGTTGAGAAATATACTCTTCCACTAGCAACAAGTGGGTTTGTCTGAAAATCTAGAATTAAAATGAATTAAACCTCTGAATCCATTGCTTAATACCTTATGGTATCTTATGGGGGTATAACTATTAAATGGTTCTGGTATACCTCGTTTACAGACCCAGGTCATGTTTTTCAGCACCTCTTGCACCTCTTGAAGCTCCATCCGGACTGCATCCAAGGCTTCTTGTGCTTTACTTTGCAAGCGTTTGACCTGACAAACGGGGAGCTTCATTTGCAAAACCCATAGGATCCATGGTGCTGCTATATATGGTAACATTTACCATCAATATACCCCCAATGTTAGCATATATACCATACATGGATCCGTCATGGGAAATGATGTGAAATGATATGAGTTGTGCATCTTTTTTTCAGAGCATGCTCTTCGACTGCTCGAGCGAGCACTCCCCAATTCATGAAAATTCTGGGCCGTCTTGGACAGCTGAGTTGCAGAGTTTACAAACACATCAAGAAGATTCAATTCGATTTGTTCAGAGGGTTCTGGAGAATCGAATATGTGACATATAAATACATATAATCTGTGTGAATGTGAAAAGGGCCAGAACCCCCAGACCCGACCTGCAAAGGTTTGATGTGCACAGCCTCAAGCAAGTCCTCTGCGCTCTCCACGACCTTCAGAGGGAACTCATTGGGATCACCCTGGTGATTGCTGGCTCTCAATCTGTCTATGTCCACGTCTGGTTGGTGGTATACCCACCCCTCTGAAAAATATGAAAGTCAGTTGGGATGATTATCTCCAATATATGGAAAAATAAAACATGTTCCAAACCACCAACCAGATATCCTTTATGGTTTCAACTTAGAGATGTAGACAAGTTAGAGATGTCTCCAATCGCTTTTTCAGAATGTGTGTCATGAATCAAAGTTATCCTTTTCTATCTTACCCTCGGGTAAGTCATCAGTTTCATGAATGGAAAATCACCCAGCTATAGTTCCATGGTTTTCCCAGCCATGGAGCTGATGACACCGGAGCCACAAGAGGGTCAGCCGGCGGTTTATTAAACTCCGGCCTTCCTCCATTCACCACTAGACACTCCCAATAAAATCAACCCAAAAATCATCAGCAAGAGTTGGGGATGTCCGAAAGCATCTAAAAATCATCAAGTTCTTGGATATATAGTTATATCATATATATATATAGATATATATATACACAATAATATATATATCATGTTAATAGATCTTATCATAGGGATTTCATGGGATTTCATGGGATTTCTGCCTCCTCCAGGGTGGCTGCGCCCATCTCTTCACACCAAGTATAGATGGCCTTTTCGCCGCGTGAGCATGGAATTTCATGGGGAGATCGGATTTTCACAGGAAATTGGCCAGACTATGGATGGACATTCATGGAAAGTTCGTTGAACTGGTAAATTGTGGCCACTCGCCGACCAATTCCTACCCCTATCATAAAAAGCTGGTGAGGTTGCAAATACAAAACATCTTAGATCGAAAATATATCATGGGGATACAGTGTGTAGAATGGGATGCAAGGTGATATAGTATGATATAGTTGGAATCTTGGATGAATTTCGGGGACACAAAAAACGCTGGGTATAAAATAAACCAGTCTATGGGATCTCATGGGACATAGAGGGCGATACCAGGACCAACATTCACCAAGAATGTGAGTTGGGTTTGTCCAGAAATGCGCTTAAAAAACCTTCCAAGTATTGGCAATCTGAAAACCAATGGGGAAATTTGAGGAAAAACGACAGATTTTGAAAGCTTTCAAACCATCAGCCAAAGGATGCCAAAGGACATACTGATGCGCGAAAAAAAACATCTCAAAACCTTTTTTCTTGCGCTTCTGCTTTGCCATGTTTGCACTCTCCCAAGTTTAGAAGCCGTGGACTGCTGGCAAGATTAGACTGTTTTGAGGATATTTTGGCGGGTATGCCAAATGTTCCTTGATAAATGATGCTAATTCACCAAACTGAATATCCTGAATAATTAATTCAACAGTTTAACCATTTCAAAATAGTTACTCTTATGATCCCCTGTGTATATTTCCATAAATTTCCCATATATGTCCCCTCATTCCTTTGCGACATCGCGACGCGGAGATTTTGTGCCAGCCGCCTCTTGATGTTCAGAGAGGTTCAGGTGCTTTAACCAGGCACAAATGTCGCGGTAGAATGGGTCCTCTCAATTCTGCAGTAGACATATATCGCAAAATCTGTGACCAACACAAGTGTGGATTCAAAGTTAAGATTATAATTGGTGCAAAGAAGCTTATTTTTTTGGTGAGATACTGCTAGATGTCAAGCAACATATCATAATATATCTACATCCTCCATCATTTTGTTGGTGTTTTTGTTTGAAAGGTGCAAAAACCCAGAAAAAACATTGGATGAAGCGAGCGCACAACCGCGGGGGCGGTTCAAAGTGGTACCCCAACTTTGACCACGATATAAGTCCAGAAAGGATCTGACAAATGCAGGGTACACGAAAAACAAGATTGAAGCTTCTCATGGTCATGATATTATATATGATATTATATATCTCGGACTGTTGTATGGCAACTGGGCACAGCATATATGATATTATATAATATGATATTATATAATATGATATTATATATAATATATTATATCATCTCAAATCTCAAATCCATGTCATTTTCGTGCCATTTCCATGTCGCAATTTGCCAACTTCCCTGTCCTCGACCTTGGAATCTTCGGCGCAGGGCCTTGTTGCCTCCGTTGCTCCATGGAGATGCCGTATGGCTGCCGTATCCATATGGTGGGGATCCCCCGGCTCCTTAGGAAACCTCCAAAAAATTTGGCAAAAAATGCAATGGGTCAACATACACCATCCATAGCCAGCCGAAAATCTTCGGATCCCACCACAACCTGTAAAAAACCAGGGCTTTTCACTGAGTTTTTGATGCACTGGGCACTGGGATATACTGGGATCATTGTCCCATTTTTTGAGAGCCAGCGACGCAGGTGATGCCTCTTCAGCAACTTCAAACGCTTCGGCTCCTGGCACGTTTTCAGCAGACATAGATCAGGGAAGACCATGTGTAGAGTGCTTCAAATCCAACGTTTTCGAAGAATGGGTCAAAACCTATAGCCTTACCATGTCTTACCATATACTTGCAGGATTATAGGGGACCGTCGGTTTTGACTCATGGCCATATTATGCCATTCCACTTGCTACAATGCTACTGACATGTCTAGCATTTCTACGCACATTTGCAGCATTGATCCATTGATCTTGGTTTTGTTGGCCCTGCAATCCAAACAGTGCACTGCGACCTTCGAAGCCGTCGCCTGAGCAGAAGGGTTTGTCATCCCACCATCGTGCATGGCATTCCTTACAATGGGTACGTATGGAGGTTTCCTAAAATGGCGGTACCCCAAAATGGTTACAGTAGTTTATAATGTAAAATCCACTTGAAATAGATGATTTGGAGGTACCCCTATTTCAGGAAACCGCCAGATAAATCCGCATGAATGGATTAATGACCATCCCCCAATATGGGTATGTAGATGTATGTAGTTCATCTTTTGACCATGGCACATTTCAAATAAATTGACTCCTGATGTCTTTTACGACCGGACTTTTTTTTGCAGGAAGTAAGGTTTCTGATTGGTGGTTGTTAAAAAAAATATCTGATTGTTGGTTTCCATATATGGGTGAACAGAAATACCAAATATTGTATCTTTGAAAGCAACAACAAAAAAACCTTTAGTTAATCCCATCATCTTCATTGATTCAATCATTTAAACATATTTAAACCATGATTTCCACTCAAAGTCCATATCAAAACCCCCAAAGCAAGGGCCTTTGGCGGCTTCTTCTGCCGGAGTGTCGTGCGGTAGCACCGCTGGCGCTTGCCAAACCTCCTTGGTTTGACCGTGGAGGGTCACCGGTGTCACCGCTGACTTCAACCCCAAAAGATGTTGGCACGGCATGACCGTTCCGAATAAAGGGTGAAATGTAAGTGATGTTTGAAACATTTGAAGCCACTGTTCTTTTCACTCGAAAATATCATGGTTCGCTTTGTTCCGAATTCAGAAGGGATTCCCGAACTTCTGGTGATACAACTAGTTTGGCATTACTCACAAATCCATGTTCAACCGCAAAGCTAGGATTCAATTCCCAAACATGGATCCAGATCAATCAGATCATCAAATCCCACCCCAGCAATATCAAATATGTCCAACAACCCCATTCTCTCGGTAAAAACCAGTGTTTTCATCATTTTTCATCCCCTACATCCATCATATCATCATGGTTTCTGGAGGCTGAAGGGATGGGGGATGGGATCATGATGGATCATGGTCACCTCTCACCGGGGAAGCTCCTCTGGCACCTCCTCCACCGTAGGAGGAGCATCCCACAAGGTATCCATAGCTGAGGCGGGGGGACCTGCGAAGGGACGTGTTTTCGGCATCTTTTTGGGGATTGCTGTGTATTTATATATATATATATATATTATGCATATAACTGAGGATGGGTCAAAATGAAAGTAAAAATTAGGGAACATGTTGATTTCAATGAATTGAGTGAAGTGAAGAATTGGCCAAGGTTCAGACAACATGCGATTTCACATGATTTAACGACATTTCGTGAGTCAAAATCTGGATTTTGAATGATTTTGATGGAATTTCAATGGATTGATGTCACCATAACTGACGATGTTGAGACAACCATAAACCATACCCCACTGAGCATCACTGAGCCAATTTTACAATTTGGGTGCGTTATAAATATTCATAAATCATGCCCCCAAAGGGGTGTTCACATTACCTGCATATCTAATGTAAGGCTGGATAAACCCAGCAATAAACCGTTCAAAGTATTCTCCAGAAATGGGTTGTATAAACCCCCACACTATCATATAACATGCATTATGCACAAATTTGTTCTTGATTTTTCTTATGTATTCGATGTTATATAGTGTTATATATATACATATTATAATACATTATATAATTATATATATATACATGTTATAATAATATATATATATATATATACAGGTTATGTTTTACATGACACGGGCGCGGACGTTTGGCTGTCCCTCCCGTTGGCGACGCCATCTATGCCTAGTCTTGCCTAGTACGCTGGACCACCACCGACGTTCGCTGCCACTTCCATCAATTTGTTCTCAATGTCACGCTGCCCAACTTCTCCCCAAAAACTAGACGACGGATGGCCCGAGAGCGTAGAGGAGGAGCAGGGTCTTCTCTTGTTAGTATGGAGACACCATCTTACAAAACAATATATTAAAGATGTGTTATAGGCAGTCGAGAAGAGGAGTATCAAGACAATATAGCACAAGTACAAGACAATAGTTTGCATCGCAAACACTTTTACACACAGAAGTTTTTACACACAGACGCTTTTACACACAAAAGTTTTTACACACAGAAGCTTTTACACACAGAAGCTTTACACACAGAGACTTTTACACACAGAAGATTTTACACACAGAAGCTTTTACACGCAGAGGCTTTTACACACAGAAGATTGCGCACACAGAAGCTTTTACACAGTCGCTTTTTACACACACGCTTTTACACACAGAAGTTTTTACACACAGACACCTTTACACACAGAAACTTTTACACACAGACGCTTTACACACAGACACTTTTACACACACACACGCTTTGACACACAGACACTTTTACACAACAAAAACTTTTACACACAGACGGCTTTACACACAGACGCTTTTACACACAGAGGCTTTTACACACAGAAGATTTTACACAACAGACTCTTTTACACACTGACGGTTTTACACACAGACGCTTTTACACACAGAGGTTTTTACACACAGACGCTTTTACTCATTTCGTGCAAAAGGGTTGCAACGGGAACCCGGAAATTGCAATTTTACCTCAGTTTTTAGCTATCGACCTTCATTTCGTGCGAAATGGTTGCAACGGGAACCCGGAAATCGCACTTTTACCTCAGTTTTTGACGATCGACCCTCATTTCGTGCGAAAGGGTTGCTCCGGCACAAGTAAAATCGCAATTTTACTTCAGTTTTTGACGATCGACCCTCATTTCGTGCGAAAGGGTTGCTCCGGGACAAGTAAAATCGCAATTTTACCTCAGTTCTTGACGATCGACCCTCATTTCGTATGAAAGGGTTGCTCCGGGACAAGTAAAATCGCAATTTTACCTCAGTTTTTGACGATCGACCCTCATTTCGTGCGAAAGGGTTGCTCCGGCACAAGTAAAATCGCAATTTTACCTCCGTTTTGGACGATCGACCCTCATTTCGTGCGAAAGGGTTGCTCCAGCACAAGTAAAATCGCAATTTTACCTCAGTTTTTGACGATCGACCCTCATTTCGTGCGAAAGGGTTGCTCCGGCACAAGTAAAATCGCAATTTTACCTCAGTTTTTGACGATCGACCCTCATTTCGTGTGAAAGGGTTGCGTTTCGTGCCGTCTCGTTGGCACTGCCCCTGCTCCCGCCTTCAAAACAGAAATAGAAAAGAAGGAGAGGGCAAGAGGGCAAGAGGGCAAGCGGGCAAGAGGAGAAGATGTGAGATGAGAAGATGTGAAGATGAGAAGATGTGAGAAGATGTGAGAAGATGTGAGAAGATGTGAGAAGATGTGAGAAGATGTGAGAAGATGTGAGAAGATGTGAGAAGATGTGAGAAGATGTGAGAAGATGTGAGTGGAGGTGTGAGAAGATGTGAGTGGAGGTGTGAGAAGATGTGAGAAGATGTGAGAAGATGTGAGAAGATGTGAGTGGAGGTGTGAGAAGATGTGAGAAGATGTGAAGATGTGAGAAGATGTGAGAAGATGTGAGAAGATGTGAGAAGATGTGAGAAGATGTGAGAAGATGTGAGAAGATGTGAAGATGAGAAGATGAGGAGAAGATGTGAGGATGAGAAGATGCGAAGATGAGAAGATGTGAAGATGAGAAGATGTGAAGATGAGAAGGTGTGAAGATGAGAAGATGTGAAGATGAGAAGATGTGAAGATGAGAAGGTGTGGAGATGAGAAGATGAGGAGAAGATGTGAGGATGAGAAGATGTGAAGATGAGAAGATGTGAGGATGAGAAGATGTGAAGATGAGAAGATGAGAAGATGTTTTACAGACCCCCACTATTGGAAGAACCCTGCGCTCAGACGCTCTCGGGAAAAAATGTTCGTTAAAAATGGTCGATGCTATGGCAAGCACTTGTTCTGTCCACTTTCTGCGCATATTCCCGGCCCTGAAGGGTCCTCCTAATATTTGCGGCTCCAGAAACCTGTTAAAGGACACTATGCGTGCAGGGTGTCGTATGGGTATACGCAAAATGTACCCCAAAAGTTGTAATTAGTTGATGAAGCCGGATTTCATCACTTAGCAAGGATTCCTGCAACTGAATTCGAACCTGTTCATTGTTTGTTCTTGCCCACCCTTGTTGCATGGCCCCCCAAGTACAATAGTGGGTATATTTGCGATTGAGCGCAAACACCGGAAATGAAAAGCATCAATACTATCCATGTGGGTATTAGTTGGCCAGAGGGTGGAAAGGTTGTAAAAAAAATTGGAAACAACACACGCTTTATAAATCTTCCGACGAATACCTAAGCCTCCAAACTTGCTTCAAATTCTGGAAAACAATCCTGGTTCCCCCTGGTCTGCGTCTCACTTCGGGCCCTGGTTTCCGAGTATTTTCAATCAATCCTCCCAAATACACCAACGATGAAACTTGTTGGACCTGACTGCCATCCTGGCAATAGATGGAGGCTACCGAGTTGTATAGGATAAGTTTAATCTTATCAAGATTCAAGTGAAGATTATGTTTCGCAGCTTCGGTCTGCAACAGAATCAACAAAAATTGAATGTTCTCTAGTGTTCTCGCAATCAAGACAGTATCATCAGCAAACTCCACATCAAAAAACGGAATTTTGGGGCATTACTGACAGAGGGTGACGGCGTAAGTATTCTATTTCCACATCATGGAATAACACAGTCTGAAGAAGTATACCAGTAGTACCGCACAAGGCGGTGGCGGAAATTTCAAAAACAGGAAACCTATGAGAGGTTGGTTGTTGTGAATCACGGATGGCACAGCGAATCCACTGATGGACCGAAAGGTGGTTGAGGCCTCCTCTCTTTCTCTCTCTTTCTCTCTCTTTCTCTCTCTTTCTCTCTCTTTCTCTCTCTTACTCTCTCTTTCTCTCTCCTTCTT